CAGCAAAATCTTCGTAATAACATTTAGCTATCTAACTATAAAGGATTAATCTGTCAAACAGTGTCCTGAAGAAAACACACAGCAATCTCTCAATTCTGCAGTGCAACCTTACGGAGACGGCTGGGACCAAGTTATTAACTTTTACTGCCACTTAGAAAGAAAGCATAAAGAAAGGTATGCTATGTGTAAGCTTGCGTAGGCTATGTACAGGCCTACTGTATACTGCATACAGCTCCCAACATAAAAGCTAAGCTAGCCAAGAGATGTAACAGCAGAGTGCAGACCGAGTTACGCGGTGGGTTATACAGAGCAACCTATATTAAATAGGTTTCTCTGTATAGCCATAAGCACATGGCACTTTACTTTAAAAGAGATCATTTTGAGCAAGAATACACAGTTGCAGATCAAAAACGAGTGATCAAATATAGAATAATGTTACAAGAGTCAACCAGAAAGCCTAATTCTTGCACAAAAAATTGTTTTTATAATAATCAGTACATGATAATCAAAGTGATATAATTTCCATCAATAACAATATATAAATGTTTGAGTTAATTCATTTAAATCACAAATGAATTAGTAATAATTTTTGCATTAAAATATTTTTGTTTGTTTGAAAACGGACTGAAAAAGATTTGTTTTAATGTAACTCATGCATTTTTGTTGTAAAAAAGATTTTATCATAAGATTAGTGAAGCGATCCTCTGTTTGGCATCAAGTGTTTGTTCTGACCGTAAAGAATAGTTTAAAACAACAATTATCACCTGCGTTTAAATGTGAAAAAAATAATGATTTGACATTTATCGTGTTATTTATCAATATCAAATGATACAACTATTTTATTGTGATAACATTTCTGGCCATATCGCCCAGCTGTAGTGAATGGTAAACATAGAAAATGAGTGTTGAATAAAGATGCTGTAGTTGATTTCAGCTCTTAGTGTTTGTATGTGGGTGTTTTAATGGGAATGTGGATCTTTCAGATCAATTTGAGAAGCACCTGTGAACTAGTTCAACTTTTATTGTGTGTCATGTAATGTTGGGAACTGGTCTTGGTCTTGACCCGGTCTCGCCCTCCCTCTGACTCGGCCTCAACTTGGTCTCAGCCCCTAAAAGTCTTGGTCTTGTCTCGGTCTCGATAAACTCTGGTCTTGGTCTTGACTTGGTCTTGGTCTGGGCAGTCTTGACTACAACACTATTAACATCTTGGCCTCTTCACTGGTTGTTGACATAAATGTAGTTCTAATACAGTAACAAAAGATGTGAGCACAAGTTACGCATAAGCCCACCCTGTCTTTCAATCCTAGTGACGTCCCATGGATGAATAAATTCTTGCTTATTTGCTGCTAAACCATATGTTGGATGTTTTGGTAAAAACAAGTTATGATGTTTAAGTGAAACCTGAGAAACACTGAATTTAGCAGTTCTCTTACTTTGTGTCTGAGGGTCCAGGTTCAGGACTGAAGGATATAGGTTCATGTTTGGACCGGTCACTCTTCATAGACAGACAGCTGGATGCTGCAGACTCTGCTCTGTCCTCCTCTTCCTCCACACAAACACTCATCTTCTGGGCTTCAGTCAGTCTGAGAGGTGAAACAGTGACACTGACTGTGAGCTCAGAACACAAACACAAACGGAGATTTGTGTTTCTGCAAAAGAACGCCTCAAGTACGTTGTACAGTTTAATCGAGAATCATATTAATTAATAAATGCATAAAGTGCAATTTATTTTCATAAATAACAAATTACATTTAAATTGATGCCGTTTTCGTTGTGTCAATCGAGCAAATACGAGTGCATAGCTTCATGTATTGTTATCACGTGTTCGCTGACTGCGCCAGCGCAAATTTCGTTTTGTGGCTTTTCTGTCAGAATGTGCCTTAATTTCTTCCTGCAGTCAGTACACATTAATTTTAATGAGCTTCACTGTCCACCAGGAGCTCGCTCACATACGCCACATTTCAAGTTGATTGTGATTTTTAAAGGGAAATCTGCGTACGAGTGCGGTCGCACCGATTTATAAATAAGAATATTTTTGTGCATGCAACTTTTAGGATTCTTTTTATGAAGGCTACAGACCCCAGGACGTTTCTTTCCTCTGCAGTCCACAGGGAGAAAACACAGGGAGTCAGAGGGTTTGACAGTATAATAATAAAAATGTTAGATTAACACTCACCCTGCCTCAGCCTTCAGTTTTCCTCCTTCTCTGTCGACTCAAAATGGATTCTGAACTGATTGAACTCTTTCAGTTTCAGGTTCCTCCCTGTTCCAATGTATGGAGGACCGATCCTGACACAGTCAGAAATAAATAAATGCTCAATAAATAAAGCATCCAATTAAATACACAAAAAAATAAAGTAAATAAATAAATGTAGGTAGTAATTAAATTATACAAGGAGACTGAAGGAAGCCATCTGACTGTGTGAGGGGCAAGATCGTTGATGTCTGCAGGCAGAGTAGGAGCTCTCCTGTCTGACTGGTCCACCAATAGCAGAGAAGATGACCCCTTGAGACACAGCCCCTCCTCATTTGCATAATGAGGCAGAAATACATACAGAAATGTAAAAAGGACAGGCAGAAATAAATACCATGGGTGAAAATAAATAAGGTAAATAAATACAAAGGAAGAATAAAACAGACAAAAATATTAAAACACACACATAAATAAATACATTTAAAAATAAGTAATTAATAAATAAAGTTGAAGATTATAACAGAGAATAAATAAATAAGGTAATTATTACAAAGGTGAATAAGTAAAGGCACTAATTAAAATATATACATTTATGTCTCCTTGTATAATTTAATTAATACCTACATTTATTTATTTACTTTATTTTTTTGTGTATTTAATTGGATACTTATTTATTTATTGAGCATTTATTTATTTCTGTATTTATTTCTGAATGTGTCAGGATCGGTCCTCCATACTAATGTACCTGGATCATCTGGTTAGTCTTGCTCCTCCCCCCTCCATTTATCAGGTGACTTCTGTGTGTGTGTGCTCGCGCGCGTGTACCTGTGTGTTTATGGGCATTTCCTAAAATAGTAATATAGTAAAATGTGTTTTGGTCGAAGTTTAAATGATGTAAATAATCACTTTTGTTTAAGTTACAAAGTGCTTTTAACTAAATTAACTAAATCTGTTCTTTTACAGGGGGACTGGCAAAGATACATCAAAATGTATTTAAAGATAAGATACCAAATACCCTCATTTCAAGTGTATCACAATATAATACAGCAGCCATTGTAATGGTTCGTAGTGAGTGGAGCAGAGCCAGGGGAGGATACAGAGCACAGGAAGCAAAAAACTGAAGGTTTAACGGCTTTATTGCACAACCAGGACAGAAAGATGTGGCGGCAAAGCAGGTAAAAAGGGAGAAACACAGTAAAAACACAGACCTCTGTGACACTCTATCCATGTCTCATTATAAACTACTGTATTTTTATATTTCAAAAATACTAAGTGCATTTTGTATCTATCTGTATGTGTTGTATGTTATCTGCACCACCATCTTGCAGATCCCAAAGCTCTTATTTGTGCTCCATGGAGTGAGGGTACATGAATGCATCCTTCCCTGAAGTCTTTTACTGACCGTCACACCCACTTAATCCGTTATTGATTGGACGCTGCAGCTGACCGGACTGATCTGATACATCATGACATCATTGCAGTTTCACACAGGAGTGAAGACAGATAACAGATTCAACTCAAGAGTATCATTGCCAAGTTTTACATTTTATTTGTTCTAAAATCTGTGTTCACTGTTGGTCTGAACAACAAAAGCACCACAAACGACTTTCTTCATTTATTAGAAAGATTTTTCTTTTCTGATATTTATTACTTATTTTATGGAAACAAAGTCAGAGAGAGTTGGAGACACATCATTTACTGTCATTTCCAATCGGTCCCATGTGAGGCTGATCATTCCTGAGTGTTTAGTCCAAACAGACGACAATAAAAAGTAGTAAACGAGTGAGAAGTTAGTCTGAACAAGTCAATAAACTGGTGCGTGCCTCAAAGAGAGGACTGACTGTGACTCTTGCTGCAAAGAAACACACTTAGCTGCAAGCATGTAGGCCTCTGAATGTGAACATATGAGGCACTCTTTATTCTTCTTCTTGTTATTATTACTATATGCAGCCTTTCTGCTACAATTAGGCTTCACACAACAGCTGCAGCAGCCTCTCCACTGTTTCAACCTGACCTTTCTTTTCTTCGGGAGGGTCAGGCCAGTTAGAGGAGGTCGGTGCAGACAGTCGGTGATTGTTCCTCTGGCTGGATGAAGCCCGACGCTCCTGGTTTTACACATTATCATACAGAAAAACAGAAATGAATGACAAAATATAACATATTCCCAAAATTTCACAAATCATGTTTTCAGCGGAGCTCATGGGTTATTAAGAGGAGCCGAGCTCCCCTGTAGTTCGCTCCCTGGTCAGAGTAGTGAACATAATAATAAATTTAACGAAATGTGCAAATGTGCACCAACTGGTGTGTCTCTGTGTGTTTGTGCAGTGGTGAGTAGTTAATCCTAATAATAAAACAATTCAACATTACTGTGTGTGTCAGGCTAAAATTCAAAGAAAATATAATATAAATATAAAAACCACTTACCATTTTCATTGTTGTTAAAACTACCCAAAGTCTTGTAGCTATGAACTAGCTTAGTTTACAGAATTCAAGGTAAAACTTTAGCACTAACTTGCATGAAAGATTTCTACATATACACACAATAAACATGATTTAAGTTTGAGGCGTTAAACTACAAAGCAGGAAATGCTATAACAAAAAAAAAAAAACTTTCTTACCTAAAAATATATATTTCCTTCTAAAAGTAGCTGTGCTGCCACAGGGGGCCGTGTGGAATCAGGACTAAACTGAGCATGTGCAGAGTGAATGAGGTGAAGGATAACTTGTTCCTGATTGGAGAAACCGACCCGTGTTACAACCATACCTGGTCTCCCCTACATTATTTAAATTTCCCTGAAACATTAGACACCATGATCATATTCTGGTTTATTCAATACACAGTCAGAATATCAATAAATAGGCAACAGAGTGCAGGTTGTTCTTCATAGCGCTACACAAGCAGCACACTTTAGCCTAGCCTCTAGCTAACAAGCGACTTAGCGCATCATGGCCAGTGCAGAGAAGTCAGAGCTTGAAAACCCTCCCTTATTGTTAAGGTCTTCTGTTTGGGCACACTTCGATTTCCTAGTGAAATACAACAACGGACAAGTCGATAAAACGAAAGCAGTGACATTTCTCTGTAGTTATCGGGTGTGTTTCTGGCAAAACTTGCTAACTCAATAATGGTATTACAATGAGAACGTCAATGCAACAAGGGAAAAAAACAAAAACAAGCACAGTGCAAACGCCTTTAAAACGACTTTAGAATTTTTTTTTTTATCTGAGCAGGCCTTCAAGCTGGGATTGATAATGTTCATAGATGGAATAAAAGAATAAGAAGAATACTGCACTGTAATCCATATTATTATCCATCCATCCATCCATTGTCAAACGCTTATCCTGCGTACAGGGTCGAATACATGTATCTCGTGTTTTTGAAAGCATGTCAACATTATACTGTAGTTTTTATATAATTAGCTTAATTGGTAACAGATGTGCTCCCTTTCTGTCTCAGCCTTTGAAACAGGCTAATTCACTGAATCCTCGAGCTCCACTAGCTCCACATTCCTGTGGCACCACTGAATGTGTCTCTTGCTGGACAATCACCTGCCTCTGCTCCAAAGTTGGCACCAGTCTCATCAACAAATTCATAGAAGTACATTTTCAGTTTATTCCAATATTCAGTTTATACAATACAATTTTATTAATATATTTTCTGTTTTTGAATGTGTGATACAAAGCCAATGACACATGAAGCAATCTCGCTTATAATTTGTCTAATGAAGCAAATTCTTTCATCCCTGACAGTGGAGCTGATCTCAGAGCAGTTCAGACTGCAGCACTGTTGGGATTCCTCTGTCAGTCACTGCTGGATGAAGCTCTCCTCTCCACTCTACCTCCCAGTAACATGGCCCAGTCAGAGCCTCTCCACACACAAGCTGATGCTGCTGCTTCAACCTCTCTGGATCATCAGGACACAGCTGATCCTCTCTCAACACCACCACCTTTCTGATCACTCACACTCGGAGACCACTCCTTGTAGCTGATGAGAGAAGAAGACAGAAGTCATAAATTAGAGTTGCAGTACATCCAGTATAAAGACCAGCAGCCCTGTGGGACTGTGTATTGAGTGCAGAAAGCCTCGACTGCTACGCTGGTGGCAGCAGTGGTAGCTCACTTTTCCAAGGCATAAATAAAGGCAGTCTGTCCTCTCAGGAGGAAGTGGACATCCAGGCCACTGAGATACAGCAACCCATGCTGAAGCATGACATGCACAGAGGTCTCTATGTGATACACAGGAAAATGTGGTCGCATTGTGCGATTTTATTAGCAATAGTCTGTGTAATGTGCAATAATTTCATGTGTTTATTGTTGTAGCAAAGCTTTATTTAGTTAATTTGTTGTACATTTATGTTGGGAGCATAATACTGATTTTTGCCACAAGGGGGCCTCGGCTCCCCAGCCAGACAGCTTGGTGTGGCTTGTAGCTGACCTTCGTCTTCAGTAGGACAGAAGCAAGGAAAGGAAGTGCATTACCTGTTGCCTGTTTCATCATCTCTCTGTTATTTACATTAATTATAATCTGGGAACAGAGTTCACTCTCTGGGCCTGTTACAGATTCTTGGGGGGTCGTCCTGGATCGGCTCTCCGGGCTGGTGAGGAGCTGATTCTAAAACCTGACATGACCCTGGACTTGGGAACCTGGTGCAACGTCTGGTGCTTGTACCTAGAGGCGAGCAGTGGCTGTGATTCAAGAGAGCTGTGACCCACTGAAAGCAGAAGTGTAGCTCTTTATGGAGATGGCGCCGTGTTCTGGTGCACTTTGGTGCACTTTGGAGGTTTTAAATTAACAGTGGCTGGTGTAACGATGTGAGTGGTACAGCAGTACTGTTCTCATGACCTGGAATATTTACTGATACACTGTAAACCATTCTACTCTCCCTGCGAGTTTGCTTCCTACTTTCAGCTCGGTGTTTACATTCCACCATAGACCAACGTGCATGACGCAAAGCGCACGCTGGCCGACCAGATACTGCCACAGTGGAGCTCGAGGTTGTACACTTCATGAACTGTCTGTATTTGGGGAGTTCGTGGCTGAGATTTCCTTTGATAAAGTCATCAAGAACAATAATTAAGGAGTCCGGGCAGCGTGCGAATTATACAGTGACAACCGGGGGGGAGGGTCAACTTTTTTTCCCAAGTCAAAAATCTTACAATGCTTATAATATCCTTGCTTATTTAACTAATGTGTGTCTGTAGATGATGATAAATCAAATTCATCAGACCAGTTCATGGGTGCTCTATACCACACAACAACTTTTGTAGTCAGAGGTCACCAAATATTCTAGAGCAAAACTGCCAGAAAGTCAGACACACAACTGAAGACCATCATGACCGCCCAAAACAGACCCACACAATGTTGAACCGGAACCAAAGACACTATCATAAAATACAGTCTGTATTATCATCTCTAATTCCTAATTTTGTAGGAATGTAGGTAATTTTGCTTATGGAACTAGGGTTTCCATATCGAAACCTTCATTCTGGTCTGTAGAAAAAACACATGATTACTAAATGTAGGGGAGGTTTACAGGAAATACTGGATCTCTGCTTTAATACTAAGGCTGCTTTGTCGGTTAAGGGAACTTCCCTTGAAGATATTTCTTCCATTTGGAACACCTGTAACATCATCAAAGCACACATCAGTTCTGCCGTGTTTTATCCTAGTATCGCAAACACCTCAGATAACCGTTGTTACTGTGGTCATTTACTCAAATTATATATTGAATATATATTAAAACAAACTGATACAATTACAAAACTTATATTTCTATAACTTATTCTATTTATATTCTATTAAAATGTATGTAACTTGTGAATGAGTGTGATTGGATTAATTTTCAACATATGCAGCGTCATTCTTAAAAAAATTCATATGAGCATTGTTGTTTTTGGGTTAACCAACTTCTGAAATAATCATATAAATAATGATAACATTAGTTAAAATGACAATAATTACAGATATACAAACTCTGTTCTCTCCTCCATTGTTAGTTTTTGCCCTCCTATGAGGTGCAAAGGCTTATGGGTAATCTTTCTTGTCAACTTCCTGCGAACTGACGAACTGTTGTTCACTTCTTTCCTACACAGTTCACAGTGCACTTTGAAGTGAACATGTTGTGCTCCCTGCGGAATCGTACTTAAAATGGCCGAATACCCTGTGCACTTAACAGGGAACTACGGGTCGATCGGGATGCACCTTAACTGTGTTTATTACAATTCTGCTGAAACCAGCATGGACTGACTCCAACCCTCTACTGACCTCACGGTCTCCAGTCCGCAGTGTGGACTCTCCACAAGATCAGACAGCGGCTTCACGTCTGAATCCTGTAGGTTGTTGAGACCAAGCTGCAGCTCTCTCAGATGGGAGGGGTTGGACTTCAGAGCTGAGGCCAGAGAAGCACAGCTGATCTCTGACAAACTGCAGTCCAACAATCTGAATAAAGAACCAATGATGTAACTTTAGAAGACAATGTTCCTCCTTGAAATCATTCAGTGTTTAATAATCTGTTCAGAGCTGAAGAAGGTTTGGAATGTAGAAGTTTGGAAAATGGAAACTCCAAACACCTGAACCCAAAAGGATGCAGGTTCAAACTGTAAAATTTTAATGTGGAGCTTAGCATTGCTCTGCCACAGTCAATGGACTAAACGACTACAGAAGGAAATCGACTTTAGCATTAAGATCCTCAGTGTGGATCAGTATAATATCAGCCTTATGTCTGCAGTTTAATCTCAGCACAGAAGGAATAAATGGTTTCTGACCTCAGAGTCTCCAGTCTACAGTGTGGACTCTCCAGAAAACCACAAAGCAGCTTCACTCCTGAATCCCGCAGCTCTTGGTTGAAACTCAGCTCCAGATCTCTCAGATGGGAGGGGTTGGACTTCAGAGCTGAGGCCAGAGAAGCACAGCTGATCTGTGACAAACTGCAGGAACTCAATCTGAATAAAGAATAAATGATGGTGATAAAAATCCATTTCTAATCCAATAACATGTATTCAGGTTTTAAATTGTGGAGCTCAACATTACTATCTCTACTTCAGCAAAAAAACTTGATCAGTTTAAAACAAATATTAGTTCAGAAGATATTCTGTATACAGATGTGACCATTTACCAAAAATTAGAAAGATTCATTTACTTTAACGACGAAGAGCGAACATTTTCTTTGTCTTTGTGACTGCAGACTAAATTTAGTACAAGAAACATGAAAATATGAACAAAAGGACATTTACAACTTTATGGATAGAAGTTATGTATGAAAAGAAATTAGGTTCTAGTTAATTAACCATATCAGATCTACAATATTAACAGTCAGTGAACTGACCTCAGAGTCTCCAGTCTGCAGTGTGGACTCTCCAGAAAACCACACAGCAGCTTCACTCCTGAATCCCGCAGCTCTTGGTTGTTACTCAGCTCCAGCACTCTCAGATGGGAGGGGTTGGACTTCAGAGCTGAGGCCAGAGAAGCACAGCTGATCTCTGACAACCTGCAACCAAACAATCTGAACAAAGAAGGGAATAACTTGGTTAACTAGGTTAACTTGCTAATTAAACATATCAGATCTACAAAAGTAACAGAGTCAGTGAACTGACCTCAGAGTCTCCAGTCTGCAGTGTGGACTCTCCATAAGATCAGACAGCAGCTTCACTCCTGAATCCTGCATATTGTTGTGACTCAGGTCCAGCTCTCTCAGATGGGAGGGGTTGGACTTCAGAGCTGAGGCCAGAGAAGCACAGCTGATCTCTGACAAACTGCACCAACTCAATCTGAATAAAGGGTAAATGATGTAACTTTAGAAGACAATGTTCCTACTTGAAATCATTCAGTTTTTAATAATCTGTTCAGAGCTGAAGAAGATTAAGAATGTAGAAGTTTAGAAAATGGAAACTCCAAACACCTGAACCCAACAGGATGCAGGTTCAAACTGTAAAATACAAAAAGGTAAAAAGAGCTTACATTAATATTAATGACAACGTGTTGCTACTTCAAAAAAACTTATACTCTGCAGCTCCACCAGTGACTCCATCTATACAAACTCATGTTGTGCAGTCAAACAAAAATAAAACCCCACAGAAACTGATTTAAGATTCCACTCAAGATCCCAAATTTCCAAAGATGTCAAATATATCAGCATGAACTTTGGGGGAATGTGAACAAAAGACATCTACAATATTCTTTTAGGAATAGTGGAGTCATAAAATCAAAGCCTCTTCAGTTTATTCTATTCAGCCAGTATAAGCAGCATATAGATTCATAACAATGTTGGAAAAACAAATAATGAAATTATTTGTTGTATTTATGTATTTATTATTCTTATTTATTTAAAACATGGTGAATAGAAGCTGAAAATCAGAAGTTTCAGAGCTTCAGAGTCAATTATCCAATGGAGATGTTTTTTGTTATTTTAAGGTTTTAAATGTGGAGCTCAACATTGCTCTGCCACAGTCAATGGACTAAACCCCTGAAGAAGAAAATAGACTTTAGCATTAAGATCCTCAGTGTGGATCAGTATAATATCAGCATTATGTCTGCACTTTAGTGTCACCACAACTTTCACATCATATTAATCTCAGCACAGAAGGAAAAAATGGTGTCTGACCTCAGAGTCTCCAGTCTGCAGTGTGGACTCTCCAGAAAACCACACAGCAGCTTCACTCCTGAATCCTGCAGCTTGTTGTCACTCAGGATTAGCTCTCTCAGATGGGAGGGGTTGGACTTCAGAGCTGAGGCCAGAGAAGCACAGCTGATCTCTGACAAACTGCAGCGCCACAATCTGAATAAAGAATAAATGATGTAGATGATAATCCATTTCTAATCCAATCAGATGTGTTCAGGTTTTAAACTTATTCAGTGAAGGAATAGTAGTGTAATGGATAACTTTTTCCAAAATAGTAATATTATTACAGTTAGTAAACTGCTAATCCAAAGTATTGAAACGATTTAAAAACCAAATGTTTTAAAATAATGTTTCTACTCCAGTTTCTGTGTATATGTCTATGAAGTAGTAAGTAGTAAAAAACATAATGATGTCCGCTGACACAACATAAAAGTGTGATCATATGTCTAGATGTTTCTTATAAAAAATAAAATTGAATGCGAGAGAAAGTTATAAAGATGCCTCTCGCACATTTAATTTTACCTCACATGACATGTTATTACAGCAGAGCACAGCAGCTGTTGAACTGCCTGCATAAAGCCAGAATAGTGGCAGGAGGCAGGCTTGCTTTTCCCCGATATTAGATGTGATTTAGCTTCTGAGTCCTTTTCAGACGGCTGACTGATGAAATTATCATCATCTTAAAAATCCAAGATAACATCAAATAGCATAAAAAATTTGCAGAACAGAGCATCAGTACTTTTTAATAATATCCTCTGTGCATATATCATCATTTAGTCTTCAGTTTAGTTTTTGTGTGTAAATTCTCTGCAGTACTCTGTAGGACTTAAGTAGTATGATTGCTGAAAACATAAATGTAGCCCCGTTAAAATGTGCATAAATAGTTTCTATGGTAATAATTTTATTGTAGGTTCAATTTCATGGTTAAAATGTTCAGACATTTAAAATGTTGTAAATAAATCCTCAAAATGTAAAAATCCATATATGTGCGTTATTTTTTATTTCATTTGATAAATGACATTCATAAGAGAAATGTATACAAAAGTGGTCAGAAATGTGTTGGACTGTGATTGCATGATTTGCGTACAATAACGGTTGTAGCAGTTGAGCTAGGGCTCCCTACTAATTCCAAGGGAGCCGAAGAGACAGTCTCTGTGTTTGCTCTAGTATGCCCAGATACAAAAAGCCCTAATGCAGTTCCAGTTATTATTGGCACCAACTCCCAGAAGCTGCATTCTTTACTAAAACATTGTAAAGAATTATACTCACTCCCTGATAATAATCACTCATTTCGTCATAGTGAGAAAAAAGAATGGCAAAGTGAGAATATACATCGACTACCGTCTACTGAACAGTACAACCATTCCAGACCAGTACACAATGCTGCATGGATGATGTGCTTGACTGTCTGACAGGAAGTAAATGGTTCTCTGTATTCGATCTGAGAAGTGGATATTATCAGGTGGAGATGTCTGAGGCAGACAAGGAAAAACCAGCCTTCATTTGTCCCCTTGGGTTTTTCCAGTTTGAGATAATGCCTCTGGGCCTTACTTGCAGTCTTGCTACCTTTCAAAGTTAAATGGAGAGAGCAGTTGGAGACATGAACATGATATAAGTCCTTCTGTTTTGTCTGAGTTCAGTTGGAGGAAATTATTTGACATCCATTTTTTAACTTCACAAAGGCAGTTGTTAAGTGAGCTCAGCATTCCAGGGTGTGTAGATCTGACGGGCAAGTATATTTGTGTGTCATCAGCATAAATATGAAAAGAAGTGCCATGTTTATGGATAATGTCCAAGGGGAAGCAGATACAAGGAAAACAAAATGGGTCCTAAGACCGACCCCTGAGGCACACCATATTTAACTGGACAGAACGAAGAGACATAGTTGTTTACAGACACACAAAACTTCCTATTTGACAGGTAGGATGAAAACCATTCTATGGCAGTACCAGAGATCCCCACCCAGTGCCTCAGTCTGTCTAACATGATGTTGTGATCAATGGTGTCAAAAGCAGCGCTAAGGTCCAGGATTACCAGGACTGAGCACATGCCTTCATCAGCAGACATTAAAAGGTCATTGGTGACTTTAAGCAGGGCAGTCTCAGTGCTGTGGTACTTCCTGAAACCAGACTGAAACTTTTCAAATAATTTGTTATTTTCCAGTACAGTGAGCAGCTGTTTGGACACAATTCTTTCTAGAATCTTTGCAATAAAAGGCAGTTTTGAAATTGGTCTAAAATTATGTGGGAGGGAGGGATCTAAACCAGGTTTCTTTAAAAGTGGGTTCACACAAGCAGTTTTAAAATAATCAGGGACACAACCAGTAGATAGGGAGCTGTTGAAAACAGAGATCAAATGGGGCCCAACAGAATCATTTAATTTCAGTAAAAATTTTGTAGGTATTACATCAAGTGGGCTGGAGGACACTCTCATTTGTGATACTGTTTTTAAAAGCTCAGACAAGTCGATGGGATAAAACTGGTTAAAACTCTCTTGTTGCTGGTGAGGAACCTCTGAGTAAGAGGCAGCGGATGATCTGTGTTTGGCAGAACTCTGGTGGAGCATTAGGAGAGTCTTCTCCGAATCTTGGATTGGCTGGAGGAATGTGGTCTCAAAATCTCCATTAACAAGTGCCAATTCTGCCAACCCCAAGTGAAGTTCTAAGGGCACATTGTCTCTGCTTTTGGTGTCACCACAGATCCTGAGAAAGTGAGTGCCATTGCCCATTGGAAGAAATCCATTGCACCAAATGTCCCAGAGATCTTTTCTGGGATTTTGTGGGTACTAACAGCGGTTTATTGAGAATTATTATGCAATTGTCCACCCTCTAAAAGAACTAACTAAAAAAGAGCAATTGATATTTGTGCTCAGACAAACCCAGAGAACAAGAGAACTGAGAACTTGTGATATGGATTTGGTAGATATACACTGGACAAGAGCAGAATACATGAACTGACCTCAGAGCCTCCAGTCTACAATGTGAACTCTCCAGTCCAGCAGACAGCAGCGTCACTCCTGAATCCTCCAGCTTGTTTTTACTCAGGTCCAGCATTCTTAGATGGGAGGGGTTCGACTTCAGACCTGAGGCCACGACTTCACAGTGAGTCTCTGAGAGTCCACATCTAAAAAGTCTGTGATGACAGAAGAGGTGCGGTTCACAGTGAAAGCAAACAAACCAACTATAGGATTTTATGATAGCAGAGATGTGATCTAAACATTATTTCCAAAGCTAAACCACTAATGTCCATCTGCTGATGCACAGTGTTTTCAGCAATCTTATAATTGATGTCTAAGCCGCTATGTTTATGAAAACCATTTTGGTAATGTATACTTGTAAGTGAATGTATTTCCTTGATTAATAGATTAAAAAGTAGGGGAAGTAGTACTCCCTTTACCCTGTCAGTTCATTAAGTCCATAAAACATTTGTGACAGCGATACCACAGTACTATATACTATGGTACTATAGGCTAATAAGCCCCGAAATATTACTGTGCATGTCCTGTTTTAACGTTATTATTCATAAAAGGCTCTGCAATTGATCCGTGGTCAAACATTATCATTCATGCTTATAATAAATGGGGGTGGCGATGCAGCAGTGGATAAGACACATGACTTTGTTGTGAGAGACCCTACAGTGACACGTCCACCAATGTGTCCCTGAACCCTCAGTTGCTCCAGAAGCCTGCGACCTCTGACAAAAACAGCAACTGTAAGTCGCTTTACGGTTAGGGATAAAAGCTAAAAAAATAACAACAACAAAGAAAACCCTATTACTTCGTGAGCTCTTTGCGATACAGATCAGAAGCATTGAAGTGCTGCATAACCTTCTGTCAGTCACCTGAGTTTGATTTCCTCACGTGAGTCCTGATGATGCAGGATGACAATTGCCAAACAATTGTTCAATCAACAAGTTACCTGTAAGTCTGTGTAACATCATGGTTACGTCTGTGGTTCGTTTGTAAAACTAAATTGTAAACATGAACCAGACCAGAACTAAAATGCAAATAAAATGTATAATTTTTTTCACTTGAGTTAATAAATCAACCCAGAAGTAGGGTCATATTACCATTATTTCTAATGGAACAGGACTTATTTTTGCAACCAGCGGACTCACCCCCTGCTGTCCGTTAGAGAGAATGCAGGTTTAACCCAGAGGTTGCCGCTTGATTAAGATTAGAGAAATAACATTTGACAACCGCTCGTCACGTCACTACAACACTCGATTGGATAACGATGCATGCCAAGAGCTGCAAAAAAACTGCAGGATGTTGAGTTTGTAATGTGATTTTTATTTTATTTTTTTAAAGGTGGTATTGTGCTCATTTTCAGGTTCATAATCTTATTTAAACACCATATTTTTTGTCGTACTGCACTTTGCTGCAGCTCCTCTTTTCACCCTGTGTGTTGAAGGCTTCCTTTTTAGCTATGGAGTTATAGATCTTGCCTCTCATGATCCTTGTTGGGAGTTGCACAAATGCAGTTCCTAGTTAAGGAATACTAGCCAATCAAAAGCAGAGAAGGACAGGTCAGTGAGATGCCGGTAAACACAGCTTCGGTTCAGCTGTATATGTTCCCCTTACCAGCTTGGCAACATGGACTGGGGCAAGAGTTTCAGAGTTGTGAGTTATTAATCTGTTACATAAGTATCTTTCATCCATAAAGTTATAACTGAGCTCTGTCTCTACATCACGGTAAAAACTTTATGTCCACTGACTGCCTGGAGGGTAGCTAGTGTTTGGAAGGGAGAGGAGAGCTGTGTGCTGCAACCGGTGTTTTTGAGGGCGTGTCGGAGTAGCCGCTTGGCGAGGGTTATATGTCACACATTTTGCCCAAAGTCCACCGCCAAAGAGAGATGGGAACTCCCCTTGGGGTGGACTTTGGGCTTTTTCTCTTTGCAAACCTATTACATGCACAAAAAAGAGGGAAAAAGCCAAAAAGCAGAATACCACCTCTTGAATGCCCTGTCTACACGAACACGGGTATTTTCATAACTGTGACTTTTTCTGCGCAGTTCGGCTGTTTGTCCACATGGAAATGCAGTAACAAGTCACTGAAACCGAACATTTTTGAAAACCCCTGCCAGGGTGAGGATTTTAAGAAACGCTGGTTGCAGTGTTGTTGTGTAGACACTACAACTGTGTTTTTTGTCTTGTGACATAAGAGTGTGTGCCGTTATCTGTTGTGTTTGATGATTGTGCGCCACTACTTGCTTTCTTTACAATTTTATTAGGCTGTGGTTGGCCAACATGGCTTTACGGTTAGGGTCATATCACTTTAAGGTGGTTTGGCATGCTCTTGACAGTGCTTGATAGCGCGTGTTTGCGTTTTCATGTAGATGGAGATTTTTTTAAACAAAGTCTGCAGAGAACGGCACAAAACGGGTTCACAGATAGCTGTGATCCATAGTTGAAGCACACAAAATGACAAATTAACAACACGTCAACAACGTAGGGCAGACTAAACGCTCCAATGCTGAAACACTTCAGTGTGAGTGGATGCCGGACAAAACCGTGGCACAGCTGGTACCACTTTCTGTTCGGCTGATTCCATTATCCCACGTTTTCTTCTAGTTTTGTTTGTTCTTGTAAAACGTACACGCCCTGTGTCAAATCTGATTTATGAGTAGGACCGTAACAGGAGGCGCTTGTGATTGGAGAGCAGGTCAGTCACATAAAGATGACAGCGGAATTAATTTGAAACTGCATGACTGTTTAAAACAGGATGGATATTTTTAATGTCTGTTTAACCTACATTTTAATCGCCTTCTTCAAGACTAGCTAATCATGTTCTTTTTTGATTTGAAAGTGATTAATTGTTCAGGCCTATTAGAAACACAGAACAGAGGCCAAATCATTAAAAGTTTATGAAACTTTAGTGTGGAGGATTTATATTGTATGTGTGGGTATCTTTCCTTTAATACTGATGCTTCAGCTTTACAGTGTTAATAATCACATCTGGACTTACTGAGCCTTTCTGCAGTTCCTCACAGCTGGAATCAGTCTCAGTCGTCCCTCCACCGATGTGTTGTACTTCTTCAGGTCCAACTCATCCAGAACCTCCTCTGACATCTGCAGCATGTAGGCCAGAGCTGAGCAGTGGATGTCAGAGAGTTTCTTCTCTGATCTGTTCTCTGACTTCAGGAACTCTTGGATCTCCTGATTTACTGAGTGGTCGTTTATCTCCATCAGACAGTGGAAGATGTTGATGCTTCTGTCTGGAGAGATATTTGTCCTCTTCTCCTTCAGGTTGTTGATGGCTCTCTGGATGATTTCTGGACTGTTGTCTGTCTGACCCAGCAGGCTTCCTAAGAGTCTCTGGTTGGACTCCAGAGAGAGGCCATGAAGGAAGCGAACAAACAGGTCCAGGTGGCCATTTTTACTCTCAAGGGATTTCTCCATTGCTTCCATCAATAAAACATCCAGGGTTAAATCAACATGTTTTTTCCCCAGGAGTTTCTTCAGTACTTTTAGCTTCCTGTTGGTGTGACAGTGGAACATGTAGACTGCAGCCAGAAACTCCTGAACGCTCAGATGAACAAAGCAGTAGACTGTTTTCTGGAAGATCACACTCTCTCTTTTGAAGATCTCTGTACAAACTCCTGAGTACACCGAGGCCTCTGTGACATCAAGACCACACTGCTCCAGGTCTTCTTGGTAGAACATGATGTTTCCTTTCTCCAGCTGTTCAAACGCCAGCCTCCCCAGCTTCAGAAGAACCCTCCTGTCAGCCTCCGTCAGCTCCTGTGGACTCGTCTCATGTCCCTCATCATACTTGTGCTTCTTCCTCTTTGTCTGAACCAGCAGGAAGTGTGAGTACATGTCAGTCAGGGTCTTGGGCAGCTCTCCTCTCTGCTCTGTAGTCAACATGTGCTCCAGAACTGTAGCAGTGATCCAGCAGAAGACTGGGATTAGACACATGATGTGGAGGCTCCTGGAGGTCTTGATGTGTGAGATGATTCTGCTGGACAGCTCTTCATCACTGACTCTCCTCCTGAAGTACTCCTCCTTCTGGGCGTCAGTGAAGCCTCGTACTTCTGTTACCCTGTCAACACATGAAGGAGGGATCTGATTGGCCGCCGCAGGTCGGGAAGTTATCCAGACGAGAGCCGAGGGAAGCAGATTCCCCACAATGAGGTTTGTCAGCAGCAGGTTGACTGATGACTTCTGTGTGACATCAGACACGACCTCATTGTTGTTGAAGTTTAATGAAAGTCTGCTTTCATCCAGGCCGTCAAAGATGAACAACGGTTTCCAGACAGCGAGCTTCTCTGCTGGGACCTTCTGTAATGTTGGATGGAAAACATGGAGCAGCGTGAGGAGACTGTGCTGCTCATCTTTGATCAAGTTCAGCTCCCTGAACGAGAGCAGAACCAGCAGACTGACATCTTGGTTTTCCGAGCCCTCTGCCCAGTCCAGAGTGAACTTCTGCACCGAGAAGGTTTTTCCAACACCAGCGACGCCGTTGGTCAGAACCACTCTGATGGCTCTCTGTTGGCCAGGTAAGGCTTTAAAGATGTCCTGGCACCTGATTGGAGCGTCATGGAGGGTCTCCATCTTGGAAGCTGTCTCAAGCTGCCTCACCTCATGCTGGGTATTAACCTCTTCACTCTGTCCCTCTGTGATGTAGAGCTCAGTGTAGATCCTGTTGAGGAGGGTTCCACTTCCTGTTTCATCACTTCCTTCAGTCACACGTTCACATCTCCTCCTCAGACTGATCTTATGTTCATCTAAAACCTCCTGCAGACCACTATCTGCTGAAAGAGAAGAACAAATAACCTGAGACTAAACAGAGAGCAAGAATCCAGATAAATCAAATGTTTCGGATGGATGATATTCATGAGAATATTAAAAACCAAATGTTCCTGTAATTAAACAGAAAGTCCTGTTTTCAGACATGACGACATCAGCAGACAGATGAACAGTCTTACTTTGTACAGAGCTGCTCTGACTGGCTGTCTGCAGTCCAGCTCTGGTTCTGGATCTTACCTCCACACTGGGGACAGGAGGAGTCTCCTGATGAAGCAGACTGGTCCCAGTATGAGGTGATGCACTGTCTGCAGAACCAGTGTCCACAGCTGGTAGAGACTGGATCCGTCAGGACGTCCTGACACAAAGCACAGCAGGACGGCTGCTCCTCCACAGGAACAGGACTCCTCTTCCTCTCTCTGTGAAGACATTTCTTTAGAACTAAAATGATTTGTTGCTTGTTGTTGAAAAATCTCCAGATGTGTCCGACACTGTGTAGAAGCTCAGATGGTCACAGAGAACAGTAAAAGTGTCGTTACTTTTCTGTTTTGAATTCAGCTTTCAGTCAGTAATGAAGATGATGCTTCCTTTTATTACATCTCCTCTGCTTTCAGAAAAATCAGGCCTCTCCATATATGCTGTACTGCTCCTTCATACTCCCGTATATGATTAATTGTGTGGGGAAACATTTACAAAACAAATACATATCCAATCTTCATCCTACAAAAAAGAGCTATTCGAATCATATATAAAACTGCATACAGAGAACCAGCCAACCCATTCTTCATTAAACTCAAAATATTAAAATTCAAAGATTTGACTGACTACAATTCAAATTGTTTTTAGAGCACATACTAACCAATTGCATAGAAATATCCAAGAGCTGTTTCAACTACGAGAAAACACCTACAATTTCAGAGGAATATCAATGTTTAGTAAACCGTTAATAATAGTTCCAGTTAAGTTCCACTATATAACAACCCAGGGTGTTATCCTGTGGAACAACAGTAAAATCGATTTAAAGTTATGTAACAACTTATTGCAACTGAAATTTCTATTTAAAAAAAGAATCCTTTGACGGATATGAGCTGGAACAGTGATTTTCTTTTTTATTGATTTTTATGTATTTTATGTTGAGTATGTATATATATATTTAATTGTTTACCTTGTTATAGTCAACCCAACAGATTATGAACTCTAAACAATTTAAGTAGTTAAAATATATATCATTGAAGTGGGGGTAGGACAAGAAAATATATTCCAACTTCTTCCTACCCCCTTTTTTGTTGATTGTTTTTTGTTGGTTTTTTGGTTGTTGTCTTTTAACATGTTTTATAAAGAGTTCAAATTTTTTTTTCAAAAGAAACAAACAGTAGTTACTACAGAAAACCTCCATACTAGTATGGGTCTAACAGGAACAGGTCTTTCGTAACGGTGCACATGTGTGCACATGAATGCAATCTTTAACGTCATATATTAGGCTTGTTTTGTGTGTGGAACATGTGTAAAATCTGCCGTCACTGAGTCCTACATGCCAACTTCTCCCCCTCAACTCTCTGGCCCAATCCCAAAGTCCACCCTCATAGACTTTGAGGCGCGTTCCGTGAGGGTTTACGGCTGTCCCACTGTCAAATCTTCAGTACGCATTTCTGCAGACTTTGCCTGAGGGAATTGCCCACAGTTCATAGCGGTATGACATGAAACACAGGGGTTACCAGGGGAAGCCCAGAAGCGCGAGAAAACCCCCGGCAAATCCGCGTTATAAGAGAAGAAGAAAAACAGTAAACAAAAAAGCATCGACCCCTACGCTTATGTTAACATTGTTAGATTTTTTCTTAACCTAAGATGGTACATAGAACACATGAAATTGGAGGAGAGCAACCACCTTTACACACTTAGTTTATTCAACTATTTATTTTAGTTATTGGTTATTGATGCTGTTTTGAACAACAATAGTGTATTGATTATTGACAAATATATATTGACATTTACCTCTCCTCCACTCTGTAGGGCAAGAGCCTGCAGGACTTAAAAATCAGGCAAAAACATAAAATAAAAAGTGTGCAACGTGTTTCAGTGTTGTGACAACCCTGCCTAGTTGGGTGTTTAACTGTGTGGTGTTGGGCAGTTTACTGTTCTCCTTTTGTCCCTGAAGGTATCAGCGCCCGTAAACTAGATTGGGAGCACCTGGGCCGGTCGTTGTGGGAGGAAAAATACTCCGGCCCTTTTGCTCTCACTCTCTCTGATCTGGTCCCACTCCTGCCTGCAGCCCTCGCAGCCCTCCTTTGTTTTGTTACATTATGTTTGTTACCACTCCTCAACACCCAAGCTCCATACTTTTCACTCATCCACATCTACACCACTGATTTCACTGACTAACACACTCTACACCGTTGATTATTAGTTTAGTTGTTTAAGTTGTTACAATAAATATGTTTACTTTTGGCAGTCCTCGTTGTCCTCTCCGCATTTGTCATGGCCTTTGAGCCGGGTTATGACAAATTGGGGGCTCGTCCAGCCGTGAGTTTCCTGTTGATGCTGCGATTGTTTGGTAAGATTACTGAAAATGGTATTTGGTACTTAGTGTTATAGTTTGTTGCCTAGTAGTGTGTAGGTTTGCTTTGTATTTCACACGTGGATTTACCTCAAGGTAACATGATAAAGTGACAAAGTGCTGTCCCGTTCCTGTTTACAGCATTTTGAGCTCCTGCAGCCTCTTGCACTCAATCACTGAAGTGACATCAGTAAAGTCTGTGAGGGTTCAGGGTTTAGGGTTTAGGGGGGACATTGGGATTGGGTCTCTGTCACTCTCCCTTTGGCTCCCACACACAATCATCCCTCTTAATTCTCTGCCAATCACAGGTACGAACACAGTTTATTGACAGGCTTCTAAACACATCGCACATTCACAAACATCCTGGAACACTGGAAAACACAGTGCTTATGATAAACAGCCCTTCCTGCCTTAGCTGACTAGAACAATCTTACTAGTGACATTCTGACTTAACAATGAAAACCAACTAGTCATCCAGTCCGTTACATTATATTTCTTATTCTTTTTTATTTTATATAATTTACTTATTATGTGTAATTTGGTAATTTGTTTAAGAAATTGTAACCTAATGTGGATGTTTACAAAACTTCATAATAAAGCAGCATCAATTTAATGTTTGCATTTTTTCCCTTACTGTAACAAAAATAAACCGAACCGTGACTTCAAAACCGAGGTACGTACCGAACCGTGATTTTTGTGTACCGTTACACCTCTAGTTGCTTACCGGAGCCAACCTGATTGAAATTGAACCTTCCCTCATCCAGGACAAGGGCTAACCACTAGCTAGGACATGCACATGTGGTAACAAGATTGACATCCCTGGCTGCTTATGAGCACTGTGCACGTCTCCCCTCCAGGACTCGCAGACGCTGTCTGTCACGCCAAGAGGAGTCAAGCTGGTTGTGTCCACCATGATGTCTGTGGGCCCCACTTTGCCTTACAAAGCATTTTTTCCCCAGTTGTCATTAACAGAAAAAGGCTACCAGGCGGTGGCAATTTATGTGAAGGCATTGAATGCATTGTCACTACTGTTGGCCTATCAGGCTCAATTAGAAGACAACATGTCTACATCGCCCACCCCAGCCTTGTGTGAGGAACTGTATGTGGACCTCTGCCTGAACCTCCACAGATCTGCTGTCCAAACCTCTAGAAGAGCTATGGCCCTGATGAGGGTGGCTCTCAATATCCCTGTGGTCCCGAAAGGGTCATTCGGCCCGGCGGTGATGCTATGGGGTTGCAAGGAAAAGAAGAGAGAACGTGAAGCATTACAGCTTTGTCTCCCCAGGATGGTGTCTATCCTTCTCCTTATACTGCGCCCAAGCCGAGGCCCATCCAGCTTATCGCAAGCCCGAGTGTCACCCCAACCACAGGTGGGTGCCCGGCTCAGAGCAATGTGCCTGAGCTCAAAGGTGCATGGGCAAATTTCAGTTTTATTGTTCATATGTAGGTTAACACAGGGTCAACAATACAATGAAATGAATGATAAGAGAGAAACAAAGGTCACTCCCAGCAATGCAAACAAGTAAATATTTATATGGCTATCTCGGGCACAAACTGGACTGCTCACATTGGGAAAAGAGTGTGTTGCTCCCATCTCAAAACATCACATTTATAGGCCTATCTTTAGATTCAAAATGTGGTTGTTGGCGGGAAGGGTGGAAGCTTTTCGGGCTTGTCTGGCACTTTTTCGCAGAGGAGCTCTTCTGAGGTTCAGTGTGCTTCCGGCTTCTGGCTCTGATGGCATCAGCACTTGTTGTCGTTCCTCTCGGTCACTTATACATGAGGCCGTTTCAGCCATGGATTGCGTCACTCAAACTGAACGCGACGCACCACAGCTGGGTTTTGGTTTCCATGGCATGCGTCCCTACTCTGCACCCTTAAAGATGCATTGCTTTTCTGAGCGCAGGTATTGGTATGGGAACAGTCCTGGTGAGGAAAGTTACGAAAGATGCCTTTCTGGAAGGCTGGGGGCGGATGCCACGAATGAAGCCAGGGCAGTAAATGGCACATGGAGCTCTTACATATATAGTTATATCAACAGACAGGGTGGGGCTGTGTTCACTTCATCTGCACACAGACTGATAATGTGAAGCAGTTCTAACCTGTTGTCACTGATGCCATGTATGTATTGGGGTTAGTGAACAGGGGTCAGATTTATTGTTCAGGGACAACCCTCGTTACATAGATTGTAAACTCTACAGCAAGGTAGGTTGGATACATTGGCGCACGAGTGGCCACGTGTCCTCCTGTACGCCTTTGTATTCCCTTTTTCATTAGAGCTTAGAGAAGGGATTTCCTCAGATTTTGATAGCCCCTCGCTGGCCAGGGAAACACTGGATAGCAGAGATATTTCACTGGACAGTTGTTGCCTCTGCCCCTCAGCAGCGATCTCCTATTGCAGAATGCAGCAGAGAGATATTCCCTCCTCACCCAGTGCGCCTATGTGGGTAAAAAAGCTGGATTCAGGAAATCAGAGCAGCTGTTTGTGTCTTAGGCCACCCCATCCTTAGGATAAACCCTTACAAAGCAGCATTTATCACACTGGATTTTGGGGGCTATTGATATGGCCTACAATAGCAAGGGGTTGTTGGTGGTGATTTTGTCTGCTCAGTCCACTGTGTTTCTGTTTAACTAGATTTTACAGGCTGGATGTTACTGCACCTTCACTGACTCACACAGTTTGGCCATAGTTAAGGTGCCTGAGGTGCCTATCTCGCTAGCTGTTATTGTCAGGACAGGCACAGTGTAAAATAGCTTTCTGGGCACAGCATGGGAAGTGTGTCCCACAGTGAGATACTTCACTCCTGTCCTCTGAGAACCGAGTATAATCATTTAACCCAACGTTTGTTATGAATAAAATCTCAACTCTTCCTGCTGCTCTTTTAAAGTAAAAGTCTCCATTAAAGAGACGTGATTATGTCCTTCACTGTCTTACAGTCACTCTGGGCAGCTAAGCATGAGTTAGATTTCAACTGAGGTTAGACATGGTCTAAGTCTCACATAGCATGTGTGTGTGGTGTTACAGATTCAAGTCCAGACAGTCCCCTTTACGATTCCTGCCACTCTCTGCTGTCAACAATCAAATGAGAACAATTCATATATTAAAAAAACAAACAGTGGTCCAAATCTACATGGGACCATTTTCTGTCGTTTTTTCATCCATTTTGAGCTCAAAGTCCCACATACTTTTTTAATGATTCAAAGCAGATTTGGAGTTAATATGAGAAAATTTATGACACATTTGAGGCAGATTCTTTCAGACTTTAAATAGTTCTAAATCTTGACGTCAACATGAGGCCAAACATGCGGCCAATACATGAAAATGTTGTTGAAGTGTAAATTCTTAAATGGAGATTCTCAGGTGTTTTGCAGAAATAAAATCAGATCCATCTTAGTTTGAAACAGTATTTGCACTAATAGTTCTGCATCAGGAATGTTAATATCTTACATTTGTCTTCATCCTCAAAGCATCAACTTCCATCAGGTCAGTTTACAGTGAAAACTGTTCTCTTACCTTGTATCTGAGGGTCCAGGTCCATTACTGAAAACTAGAGGAGGCTCTTTGGACTGATCACTCTTCATAGACAGACAGCTGGACACTGCTGACTCTGCTCTCTGTCTGTTAGAATCAATTCTGTAAATAACAAGATGTTTTTATTTATATCACTTGATAAATTCTCCGCTAAAAGCCATCAGAAACAATTAAAATGTTAATTGATGAACAAAACAGAAAGATGCCTGCAGTTGGTGAATAGACATTCAAAGCATTGTGCAGAAGCTCCGATAGGGAAATCCTACTGAAAGAAAGAACGGAGGAGACCAGACAGAGAAAAGGGTTGGGGGGAGAGGTGCAGAATGCGAGAGCAAAGAGGAGGAGATGGGTTGTATGGGTATTTATGGAAATGCCAGGAGGGATTTGATTGATGTGTGTTCCCGCTCCAGGAACTCTGCTACTTAGCGGCACTTCACTAGCAAATACCACAATCAACAGATGCAATATATGAATAATTAGTTGAAGAACAAAATAGAAAAATGTACATCTGTGTTTTTATTAGCATCAGCATTGAGTCCCTTAAAGTTTTCTTTCTCTCAACAGAATGGAGCATCTTTCGATGTAACGATTAACATAAAATTCTGTGTGGACATTGAAAGAAAAAACTGTATATCCTAACAACAAACCACAAATACTGTAACTAAGTGGGTTAAAGACTGTATCAACCGCAAGAAATTGGCATTTAAGAACCGAGACACAGCACAAGTGAAAATTGTGCAACAGAACTTAATCACTTGCTCAGGGAAGCCAGGAGGAGACAGCGAGGAGGAGTTTTATAGAAGGCAACGTGGTGGTGCAGTTGTTAGCACTGTCGCCTCACAGCAAGAAGGTTGTGGGTTCGAACCTTGGTCGTGTTCTCCCTGTATCTGCGTGGGTTCACTGTCCAAGGTTAATTGGCGTCTAAAAAAAATTGTCCTTAGGTGTGAATGTGAGTGTGGTTGTTGGTCTATGTGTGGCCCTGCAATGGACTGGCGACCTGTCCACGGTGTACCCTGCCTTTTGTCTGATGTAAACTGGGATTGGCTCCAGCCCCCTGCCATCCTGTATGCAGGATAAGCTGTTGACGATGGATGGAGTTTTACAGAAATTAACTCAAAGAAACGAAGACACGAAGGTAATTACTAATATGACACCAGCTCAAAAATGCATCAGTACCTCTGATGACCTGCAAAAAGCTTATAACCTGAATGGTGACCTTCTATCTGAGATTAGATTCTTGGGACTTTTCCTCTGAATGGAAGAATGTTTTAGAGACACTTTCTGTCACAGAACAGGATGCAAGGCGTGTTAGAACCTCAGGAGGTCAGATTACTTTTTAAAGTCCTATGTACTAACAAGGCCACTGGGCCAGATGGACTATTATATTCCTGCTAAAGACATGTGCAGAGGAGCTGACACCTGCATGGTGCCCCATCTTTCAAAAATCAGTACACTCGCACACCTTGTGGAAGAATTCAGTAATTACACCTGCACCCAAAAACCCTTGCCTAAAGGTGAATAATGATTTCAGGCCTGTGGCACTGACATCCATTGTCATGAAATGTCTTGAGAGGACAACGGTGCCACTGCTTAAGTAAGATGTTTGTGTGCTTTTAGATCCTTTTCAGTTTGCTGGGCGGGGCACAGATGACGCTATGAGCAGCATCTCACATCTGGTCTTTAAACACCTTGAGGACCCCAATGCACGCATTTGTTGATTTTAGTTCAGCTTTTAACACTCCTCCAGAAACTGAAACACATGAATGTTAACTCTTTAATTCTCAACTGGTATTTTACTTTTTTAACAAACTGTACTCAAACAGGTCAGAGTGAATAATGCTCTCACGGAGCCCAGGCCAATCAGCACTGGTGCCCCTCAGGGTTGTGTCAGCTCTCCAGTCCTCTTTACACTGTGCACTAATGACTGCACTAGACTCCCCCCCTAAAATTATATTATTACATTCTCAGATGACTCAGCAATCCTCGGCCTCATGCACAAAGATAGAAGCCCAGCAGCGTACAGAAATTGAGGAATTTGTCCAGTGGTGTAAGAGAACCATCTTGTGCTAAATGTGACTGAGACTGTGGTGCAACACATGGGCTGTTGGATAGTTCAATATGCCATAAGCTATTGGGCTGTGCAACATGTTAGTTAAGCAATACACAAGCTGTTAGATTGTTCAATATGTCACTTGTGCAATACATAGGCTATTGGGGTTGTGCAATATCTCATTGTGCAAGAGTTGTGCTACATTTGTGAGGAATGCAGCCGACAGGGTTGTTCAATCAAAAACTGCCAAGATGTTTATTATTATTATTATCATTATTATTATTATTATTATTATTATTATTTTGTGTTGTCTTTGTAAAGTTGCAGAATGGACAGAGTCCAAAACAAATTTCCCTAAGTATATCTTATCTTATCTAATTGTTTTTCAAATACACTAGCTGGCCTTTTCCTTAAAAAGACAAATACAGCTTTTATTTGTAGGAGTGCATTGACTGAAAAGAGCATTTACTGGGAACAAGCCTATTTAAGATTACAGACCTTTCTTCACTCAGTATCCCACCCAGCTTCTGGTACAGACCATGGTTTTCTCTCACCTCAACTATTGCAATGCCCTCCCAGCAGGTCTTCCAGCTTGTGCTGTGAGATCCCTACAAATGGTTCAGAACGCAGCAGCATGTCTGGTTTTTGATCAAGCTTAAAGGAATCATGTCACTCCATTACTCAGTGATCTCCACTGGCTCCCCGTGGCCTCCAGAATCAAATTCAAGTCACTAATGCTTGCATACAGAGTGACTACTGGGTCTGCATCATCTACCTAAACTCCATAATACAAGTTTACATTCTTTCTCGGCCACTACGCTCCTCCAACGAACACCACCTGGCTCTGCCATCCCCTTCACGCAAAGCAATCTCAGCCCCGGCAGTTATCATCTGTGACAACACGATGGTGGAACAAGCTACCACAGGCTATCAGAGCAGGGGCGTCCCTCTCTAACTTCAAGAAGCTCATGAACACTCATCTCTTCCGAGAGCACTTATTATAACACTCTTATAACACCTCTTACTTTTAACATGCACTTCCTATGCTCTTCTTCTTCTATCTCCTTACAATTCTCTTGTATTGATTGCACTTTTTTGTTAGCTCTTACTTCTGTCCATAGGTATTTACCCCATTGATGCTCTAACTAGTATGTATTGTCAGTTGTAGATCTTGTGCTGTATTGATGCTTCTATGTTGCACCTCAAATGCATGTCGCTTTGGATGAAAGCGTCTGCCAAATGAGTAAATGTAAGTGTACAGACATCATGGAGCATAAATGTTTTTTGCCTTCCTTTGGTGTGAAAGACCCAGGTTCAATCCCCTGCTGTGACACTTCTACCACTGTGTCCCTGAGCAAGACACTTAATCCCTTGTTCCTCCAGATGCGTGCGACCTCTGACACAATGAAGCACACCGACCACTATTAAGGGATACAGACTGATTCAATAGCCGCTTTCACACAGAGATCTTGCAGTCAATGCGGAAAAATGTTCGCCAATATGCTACAGTCGCTCATTCATACAGAACAAAATCTTGCAGCATAATCCCGCAACTGTGTGTGTGCTTCACATAACAATCAGGTGTAATGCCAAATTTTGCATGCCTGCAGAGAATAGCATGCACCTCAAAATACTGCTTTTAAACACTATAATATTCTTTGTGGGGTTCATTAATGGCAGTGTTTCCCATATATTGATTTATTTGTGGCAACCCGCCACAATATCAACGCTGACCACCACATGTTGATTTTTGATTATTTTTTTTTACCAGGCCTATTTATAATCATATTTGATTGCAGAGCTGCGTGCAGCGCATATATTCCTCTCATATTTCTCTCTCTTTCTCATATGAACACCTTTGCAGAAATCAGTCCAACACAACGCTGTCAATGTGGGAGACCCAGCTATACCAATATAAACCCTGTTACTGCTGAATGACAGAAGCTAAGCAGGTTTGGGCTTGGCCAGTAGGGGGCAGTCTTCCCTCTGGTCCTAATAATAATGCCCCAGCACAATGATGGGACACTGTGCCGTCCTTCAGATGAGACGTTAAACTGTGGTCATTAAAGATCTCTTGGCACTTGTCCCAAAGAGTAGGGGGTTCCCCATTGTCATGGCAAAATTCCCAACCTGGCTTTTGCCATCTAATCATCCCCTGTAGTAATTGGCTCAATGTTTCTCTGCCTCAAGCTGATGTGTGGTGAGCGTTCTGGTGCTAAACGGCTGCTGTGCATCACCCAGGTGGGTCCTGCAGTGGGTGGTGAAGGCAGCAGAGCCGGCCATTGGGACAATACTACCCCCCCTCGAGGACACCTACATTAAAGAGGTGGTATTATGGTTTTTGGCTTTTTCCCCTCTCCTTTTTTGTGCATGTAATAGGTTTGCAAAGTGAAAAAGCCGTTTGTAGTCCAGCCTTTACTTCCCTTTCTTGTGATGTCACAATGAAAATACGTGTCATAATGCTCGCTGAGCGACTACTCCGACACGCCTTCAAGAACAGCGGTGGAAAAACTGAGCTGCAGCACACAGCTCTCCTCTCCCTTCCAAACACTAGCTACCCTCCAGGCAGTCAGTGGACATGAAGTTGTTCCTGTGATGTAGAGACAGAGCTCAGTTAAAACTTTATGGATGAAAGATACTTTTGTTACAGATTAATAACTCACCACTCTGAAACTCTCGCTCCAGTCCAAATTGCATACCTGGTTGGCAACATGTAGCCTACAGGTGAATCGAAGCTGTTTATCGTATTTTCGCTGACCCGCCCTTCTCCGGAGGAGGTCTAGCACGCTGGTGCGACTACGCAGAAGAGGACACCACACGCTTTCTCTCCAATGTGCAACAAACTGAATGAACTTCAGCTACTGGTGGGCCTACAGAGCGGATCAATGTAAATTGTCCGTACTTGTATAGCGCCTTTCTAGTCTTTTCAACCACTCAAAGCGCTTTTACACTACATCTGCATTCACCAGTAATACACATTCATACACTGAGCCTAAGTGCTCACACTCATTCACACTCGTTCATACACTGGCGGAATAGCCGCCAGGGTCAAATCAGGGTTCAGTATCTTGCCCAAGGACACTTCAACACGCAACCAGGGAGCCAGGGATTGAGCCACCGACCTTCCGATTAACGGCCAACCCGCTCTACCTCCTGAGCCACAGCCCACAATGCAACAGTGATTCAGCAGTACTGTTCTCATGACCTGGAATATTTACTGATACACTGTAAACCATTTAACTTTCCTCGCGAGTTTGCTAGCTACTTTCTTCTCAGTGCCAGAACAGTTTCTTGGAAGACACTGACTGTCATGCCCCCCTCCCCAAAAACACACATGCAAAAAACAAACACACACTCCTGACCCCATACTTTACAACAACGCTCAAGTGTGCTTTATGCTTATGATTGTTATGAATCATTCTTATGATTCTAAATCTGACGCATCCAGTGAATGGTCTGTGGGCTGTATTGCTATCGTAGTATGTTGTGATTGGTTGTCTGTTCTTCACGCACCATGGCCTGTACGAAACAACATTTCGTTCAGCCTTATACTTGTATGTGAAGAATGACAATAAGGTTTAACTTTGATTTTGACAGCGTGTACAACCATTTTGCTTGTATTTACTTATACAATGAACTTGTGCCTTGATGTTTTGCGAGGTAAGAATATTCAAAAGAGACTTAATACTGAACATTATGATCAGCATGACATAAGCAATTGACATAGAAAACAGATAGTTGTAAGTAGTTGTATATAATAATTTGCATCAATGTGTCTGATGCATTTGCAATTTGTTCAAAATAATGAGAACTTGCTTTTATGATGTGCACAAGTGAGAATTTCAATTCTGATCTGACAAATGCACCAAAGCGACTGAGAAAAACTGTAATAATATGTTGTGTGTGTAGCATGAAGGGACTACACATTTTGTTTTGCTATGCAGCCTTGTGCTGTATAATAAGAAAAAAAAACACCCTGTACCTTTTACCATGTACCTTGAATGAGGTTCTCTTACTTTGTGCCTGAGGGTCCAGGTCCATTACTGAAGACTAGAGGGGACTCTTTGGACTGGTCGCTCCTCACAGACTCTGCTCTGTCCTCCTTTTCTATACAAACACTCATCTTCTGAACTTCAGTCAGTCTGAGAGGTGAAACAAGTAACACTGACTGTGAGCTCAGAACACAAGAATCAAGACAAACAAGACTGAGAGAACAGGAAATACCACTCACACACCAAGTTTTGAGTTCACTTTAAACTTTCCTCTACAGGAAGAAAACTTTACATTACATTAACTTCTTTAGCTGACACTTTTATCCAAAGCAACTAAAAATTACAATTTTTGTCAGAGGTCGCACGTCTCTCGAGCAATTAGGGGTACACTGTACTATCACCACCCCTGTTGCTTTGACAGTAAAATAATAAAAATGTTGGACTAACACTCACCCTGCAGTTTTCCTCCTTCTGCTCTGTCGACTCAAAAAGGATTCTGAACTGACTGAACTCTTTTAGCTTCAGGTATCTCCCTGTTCTCCGGTGACTCTGTGCATTTGTGTGTGTGTTTAACATGGTGTGTTTATGAGTGTACATATTTACGTATATAGCCTACTATATACGCACTATTCACTGCTCACTGTGTATAGTTACTGTTTACTGTGTATAGTTTTGTGTATATTGGGTGAATGGTCTGAGGGCTGTGCTGCTGTATCTGGTTATTTGTAGTTGTCTGTTCTTTATGCACCATGGCCTGTACAAAACAACATTTCGTTCAACTATATACTAGTATGAAAAGAATGACAATAAAGTTTGACTTTATTTAACTTTGATTTTGACAACGTGTTCAATCATTTTGCAAGTAGTGACTTATACAATGAACTTATGCATTGATGTTTTTGGGGGGTAAGACTATTCAACAAAGAACTAGAATAATACATTATGATCAGCGTGACATAAGCTATTGATAATGTAGGAAACAGCAGACAGTTGTACATACTCATTTGCATCAGTGAAGCATTTGTAATTTGTTCAAAATAATGAGAATTGCCTTTACGATGTGCACAAGTAATGCACATCAAAAAGTAGGCTCAACAAGTAGTTTTGAGAATTTCAATTCTGATCTGACAAATGCACCAAAGCGACTGAGAAAAACTGTAATAATATGTTGTGTGTGTAGCATGAAGGGACTACACATTTTGTTTTGCTATGCAGCCTTGTGCTGTATAATAAGAAAAAAAACACCCTGTACCTTTTACCATGTACCTTGAATGAGTTAGTAGCGGTTCTCTTACTTTGTGCCTGAGGGTCCAGGTCCATTACTGAAGACTAGAGGGGACTCTTTGGACTGGTCGCTCCTCACAGACTCTGCTCTGTCCTCCTTTTCTATACAAACACTCATCTTCTGAACTTCAGTCAGTCTGAGAGGTGAAACAAGTAACACTGACTGTGAGCTCAGAACACAAGAATCAAGAGAAACAAGACTGAGAGAACAGGAAATACCACTCACACACCAAGTTTTGAGTTCACTTTAACCTTTCCTCTACAGGGAGAAAACTTTACATTGCACACTGCACTATTACAACCCCTGTTGCTTTGACAGTAAAATAATAAAAATGTTGGATTAACACTCACTCTGCCTCAGCCTTCAGGTTTCCTCCTTCTGCTCTGTCGATTTAAAAAGGATTCTGAACCTTTTTGTTTTCTTCAGTATCACACTGTCTGTACATCCATGCTAACATTACATTTATTCATTTAGCTGACACTTTTATCCAAACCGACTTACAATTGCTATACATGTCAGAGGTCACACGCCTCTGGAGAAACTAGGGGTTTAGTGTCTTGCTCAGGAACACAATGGAGGATGTCTCACAGTGGGAATCAAACCCAGGTCTCCTGGCAAGGCCAAAGGCAAGCATCTTATCTATGCGCCATCACCTCCATTCACAGTTAAAAGCGGATTCAAATACTTTTAATGGAGATACTTTGACTAAATGTGAACAAAGAAAGACTAAAAATCACAACAGCACATCTGATCAGCTATTTGGGGTCTCTCCCTCCTGATGGCTTTAATTGTTTCTGAATGTTCTTTATCTGACTGGACCTTAAGTATTTGAGTAGTGAAATCTAATGATTCTTGTTTGTTGTGAATCTCTTGAATGTTTCCACAGTGTAACGTATAGATTTGTTTCTTCCCTCCAGGCGAGAGCGAAGCAGCTGTATAACGCTGGCTATAAAACGCCGACTCACCTGGTGAACGCTGACCCTGCTGTTCTGTCCAAGATGAACGAAAACTTTTTAGTGAAAACACATGGAATATATTCCACGTGTTTTCACTAACAAGTCTTCTCTCCCACACACACAGAAGATGTGTAAATGCCTCTGTAGCTCAAATTAAATTCTCAGGTTCACTATTTACATGTTTGCCCACATGTAGCAAAGAGCTTGTCTGGGTTATTGTTGGTGGGATGTGGCGTCTGCACTCTCTAGTTGTAGCTGAACCAGCTACCCTTCATTGGAATCAGGTGTACTGATGCAGTCGCAGCAAAGTGTTGCTGACTTTAACAACAAAGAATCTCTGTTCACCAATGAACTTGAAATGTGAGTTAAATGTAGGCCAACTGACATCAGGGGCACGTTCAGATGTGCAGCGTTTTGCTACGGTTTTCAGGTTAAACAACATTCTTTGAAATGGTGTGCAACCATAGACAGTATATTACTGGATGAAGCCAGCCCGATGATTTGAATGGAGAGCAGTGAAGCCAGTTTTGGACCAATAAAATACAAACCCGATTCCAAAAAAAGTTGTGACACTGTACAAATTGTGAGTAAAAAAGAAATGGAATAATTTACAAATCTCATAAACTTATATTTTATTCACAATAGAATATAGATAACATATCAAATGTTTAAAGTGAGACATTTTGAAATCTCATGCCAAATATTGGCTCATTTTGGATTTCATGAGAGCTACACATTCCACAAAAGTTGGGACAGGTAGCAATAAGAGGCCAGAAAAGTTAAAATTACATATAAGGAACAGCTGGAGGACCAATTTGCAACTCATTAGGTCAATTGGCAACATGATTGGGTATAAAAAGAGCCTCTCAGAGTGGCAGTGTCTCTCAGAAGTCAAGATGGGCAGAGGATCACCAATTCCCCCAATGCTGCGGCGAAAAATAGTGGAGCAATATCAGAAAGAAGTTTCTCAGAGAAAAATTGCAAAGAGTTCTAGCACAGAGCACAAACACCAGCTTATTCCACGAAATCAGATTATGGTTGAAATCGTATAATCAGCAGAAGGCATGCCTAGGACACAGAGTGAGAGCAGTGCAGTCAAAAACAATCAGTTAAATAAAAATCCACCAAAAGGTTGGAAAGCAATGAGAAATCCATAACAGTGAAATAAAAGTTCTAAAAATCCACCAAAAGCTGAAAGGATGGAAAGCGGTGGTCGTGGTGGCGTCGATCTCTGACGCGCTCTGGTGAAACTTTTGTATTCTAATTGGTGTCTATTTCTGTTGATGATAAAAATGTTGGTAAACGTTCAAGCTTTCTTATCTGGCCCAAGTCTTGAATGTTTTTACACGAAAACCTGTTTTTGAAGCATATCATATAGTATGGATTCTATTTGATATTGATTAGTGATATTCTAGTAGAGGATTGAATTGGTGCCATTTGTAGTGAACAAATGAGGGTACTTTGTATTAAAGTTTGAGAACTCTAGCTGCAAAATTCAGTGAGTTATAGTAGCTGAAGCAAAAACTCAAGCAGTTAAAACACAGGTTCATTTTTAGGACGATGTATTTAAGGTAAAATAATAATTACGGAGCTGGAGGAGGGGGTTAATGTTCTGAGAAACTCTAAATTTACTCAAGTAAAGTCATAGATTAAAGTGATAAATATGGATTAAACTATTTTATTGTGAAATACAGTAAATCTCTCTGTGAAGGAGTCAAACGGCTTTCCAAGTCTTTCTTATGCTCAGAGTAAAATTAAGATTTTTGACAGAGAGTAAAACACAAATATCCAATTAAATGTGTTAATCTGCAGAGGCACTTTGGGTTCAGGACATCTGAATGACATGAAGTCCAGGTCCAGGTGGAGGAGGTGGCTGAGTGTGGAGCAGAAGTAGTGGAGGAGTCTCAGTGTGTCTGCAGAGACTGTGTAGAAGGACAGAGCAGCAGCAGAGCAGTCCAGATCCACTGATGATACTCTGTCACATCCAGAGGAACACACAGGGATGATGGTGGACTTGACTTTGTGTCTGACAGTGGAGCTGATCTCAGAGCAGTTCAGACTGCAGCACTGTTGGGATTCCTCTGTCAGTCACTGCTGGATGAAGCTCTCCTCTCCACTCTACCTCCCAGTAACATGGCCCAGTCAGAGCCTCTCCACACACAAGCTGATGCTGCTGCTTCAACCTCTCTGGATCATCAGGACACAGCTGATCCTCTCTCAACACCACCACCTTTCTCATCACTCACTCTCACTTCTTCCATCTGATGAGAGAAGAAGACAGCAGACGTCATAAATCAGAGTTTACAGAGACTCCCTTCATCAGCTGTCAGTCAGTGATGCAGCACATCCAGTATAAAGACCAGCAGGGACTTCAGTCCTGTTCAGACCAGAAGTGGAGCGTCTGTTCTAAAAACATTTGGACCAAACTAAAGACACATGGACAGATATATATATATGATGTTAAAGGTCCTACATGTTCATACAAAGACTGAACAGCTAAACATCAGCTGTGCTTACTGGACTTCAGCAGAGGTTCTGCTCTGTAGAAAGACCACATGGTTACTAAATGTAATGATGGTTCTCTGAAATAAGATCCAGTGATTTGCAGGCTTCAGTCAGACTGATCTCAGAGCTGTGACAAAGATGAACTGATCAGAAGTTTAGTGTTGAAATGAGAGAACAAACACTTTGAGATCAGATTTGATGGTAGGACAGTTTGATGAATGAGGACCACTGTCTCTATACATCTTGTGATGCTGTCAGCTGGAATCCAGCTTTATTTCCTGGAGACATGAACACAACACATCAACTCAAACACATGATCACAACAAGCTTCTGGCTGATCTGATTGGCTGCCTGTTCTCTCTCTCTCTGTCTTTCTGTCCAATCCTGAAGCCTGTCATCATTCTCCTCTCACAGCTTCACTGAGGAAAGCAGCCGCTGAGAAGGTTGGAGGTTTATAGGAAATACTGGATCTCTGCTTTGATACTAACTGTGTTTAGTACAATACTGCTGAAACCAGCATGGACTGAGTCCAACCCTCTACTGACCTCAGAGTCTCCACACAGCAGCTTCACTCCTGAATCCTGCAGCTTGTTTCCTCTCAGCTGCAGCTCTCTCAGATGGGAGGGGTTGGACTTCAGAGCTGAGGCCAGAGAAGCACAGCTGATCTCTGACAAACTGCAGCCCCTCAATCTGAATAAAGAATAAATGATGGATATAAAAATCCATTTCTAATCCAATCAGATGTGTTCAGGTTTTAAATGTGGAGCTCAACATTACTATGTCCTAATCAATGAGCTTTTCCCTAAAATGAGTAGAGGGACTTTGTCATCGTGTTATTGTGGATCATCATAATGTCAGCCTTCTACAGACATCATCCAAATGTCAGCACAACATTCATACATGCTGCTGATCTCAGGCCAGTCATCAAATCAGACTTCTTCAGTTTCTTCAATTTCTTGTGATTCGTAACAATCAGGTGCCATTCTATGAAAAATACTAAATGTGTTGGCCAAAATGAAATAAATCAGATTTTATTATTTTATTTTTTTATGAGATGAATAAGACTTTTAGTGACTACAAACCTTACAGAGCTTTTTAACACATGTCCCAGCACTTCTGATGCTCATTTTATAGCACAGATTTAGCCTCTCCTCATTACCACTGTCATCTCCATCAACACACAGCTGACTGACTGTGAGCTTCATCCTCAGTCGTCTTTAGAACTGGATCAAATGTGCACTGAGCAAAGTGAGAGGCTCGTTCACTTCATCTTCAATGTAACAGAGTACCTTCCTGTACAAATATAGTGTATTGTTTATGCTCCTGTTTCCTGGTTGAGTCAGAAACCAAAGTGACATCATTTATCACATGTTGAAGTGTCACCTGTCATTGGTGAACGCATTTAAATTTAATCATTTAGCTGATGCTTTTATCCAAAGCGACTTACAATTGCTATACATGTCAGAGGTCGCACGCCTCTGGAGCAATGAGGGGTTAAGTGTCTTGCTCAGGGACACAATGGTGAACACCAAAGGCAAGCATCTTATCTATGCGCCACCACCACCCATCAGCCACCCATCAGCCACCCAGATCAGACCCAGTACTTCAAACAGCTGCATATGGAAATTTGCTTCACCATCTCTGGATCTGTGCTGCTGGATGGGAGTTTCAGTATGTGTGTG